CGAAGGAGTAGTACGAAGATAAGGCTTTATTGTTTCACTTCCGACTCTGGTGGAGTCGGGATGAGTCCTCATTGTGATCTTGGAAAATTCGGGATCTATTAGCTCATCGTGATCTCAAGAGATTCGGGATCTGTTAGGGAGGCCTTCGGAGTTGGTTATACGACGCTTCGGCTTGTTAGCCCCGAGCTAGAACTTTGATTCCTCAGTCCCGAACTGGACTGGATAGTCAAGGTGCCTCTACACCGAGGCGAGTCTGAGATGAGGTGGCTGGATACCCAAATTGCGAATACTGCAAATTAGGCTTGCCAGGCTGAGCTATCATCCCTTGATTAAATCGTGCCAACTTGTCCCCTTCTCGCTAAACCGGGCCAAATCACCCTTCATCGATCTCTCCATTAAAAATAAATAAATTCTTATTATTAGGAGTGGAAAATTCCAATCACAACAATCATGTTTGATAAGCATTGCAACATTGATCAAATCGGTACGATAAACAAGAAGACTTGACCAGATAGGGGAATCAGAGGGTTTATACTTTTGATCCCAGAAACTCCAGGAGCTTAGATATTAACCTTCAAGAAATTTAACCCACAAATAATCTTTTACTGTAAAGAAACGCCAAGCAAGTTTCATGATCAAGGCTTTATTATTGGAAAATTGGCATTGACTCCAAACATATCCTCAATTGATCTGCTACTCACAGGCCACTATAACTTTACATTGGGAACATTTTCCTATAAACGATGTTCCAAAGTGTGGCTGTAGTATCCTGTGGGTAGACTTGTGGGTAGCAAATCCAGACGCTACATACTCGATCAACATGCATGCTCCCATCAAATCATCACTTCGGTTATGTTCAATCTGATTGAAAATGAGAGAGAAATAGAAAGTTCAAGGAAATTCCTTGATAACTTTTACACAAATTTCTGTTTTTCTTTTATTTCCTATCAACCAAAACTCAGCCCTAATTTCTTGCATCACCTAAAGTGGTTTGTTCACCAATTTTTGTGTTTTATACTACTAAATGATTATATTTGAGCTCATAAAAATACAGCTCCGCTGCAATCTGCAATCAAATAATACTACTCAGTGCATATTTCAGAGAATAAGAAAGCAAGTTGAAGAATGTCAATGGAAAATATGAATGCCATGATCAATGATCAATTATGAATTTCAGATAACATAAAACTCACTTCATTGCAGCTATGTATTTATCTTAGAGTTGTGCATAAACTGAGATTTTGTTGACAGCAAAGAGGGATCGTACCTGGCTACAATAAGGAATTAATTGTAAAGTCCCATATCACTGAATGCTTAGAAAGACTTGCACTAGCTAGTAGAGGCAAATTAAGAGGCTTAGCATTTTCCATCTGAACTTGATATAGTAGATCAGTAATAAGGAGGCCTAAGGTCATCTAGTAAGGTACCAAGATCATGCTTGGTAACATTGTTGTTTCTAGCTGAAATGTTTTGGGTTGGTCAGTGGTCAATAGAAATTGGTGCACAACTATTATTTGAGGGTGTTTATATGCATGTGTGGCAGGTTGTTTGTAGCCATACCCCTACTCTCAAATATTTGCATGAACTTTAACATTCAGGCAATACTCTTGCAAATCCATTAGCATGGTGGAAGCATCCATGTGGGACCCATTAGCTATGGTTTTGTAGCAAATCATAGCTATAAATAGAAGAATTATAGTTACGGTTTTATAAAAATCCATAGTTATAGATTTGGGTATATAACTATGGACAATTTAAAAACTGTAGCTATATGCATCTTTTAGCTACGGTTCAGCCCATGGCTAAAGGTTCATATTGGTTTATGTTCGCCCTTTAGCTACGGACAGATACTGTAGCTATAGATGGGTTATAGCTACGAATTAGTTGAACCGTAGTCGTAGGCTATAGCCACGCGAACATAGGCTACGGTTTTCTGTTTGTAGTTAAACCGTAGCTATAGGTCTATAGCTACGGTTTTTTTGACCTTTAGCCACGATTTTGTCCGTAGCTAAAGGCCATATTTCTTGTAGTGAATGGTAAATTGCCAATTCCCTTCTTTATAAAAGGTAACTAAAGCCAATAAAATATCTAGTCAATCTCAGCGCATCTTCCCATAGATAGAAATTGGTCAATGACTGAAGATAGAATAATGGATACTAAATTATTCTCTCCAAGAATGACAATAATTACAACCTTTCACTCTTTAAAAGGGGTAAGAAGAGCCAATCAAATCCTTAATCAAGGGAGGAAAAGATTAGACCAATAAATCTATAAATAAGGGTTTCCATCAAGAGGGAGAGGACTTTTTGGTCAAAGATAAAAACTAAGTAAAATAAGAAGGTTCTTGGGAAGAAGTAAGCACATACACCATCTGCTAAAGAGCAAAGCCACAAGACCTTTGATGTCTAGCACATCATCCGACCCTTAGGTTCAACTCAAATCAAAATCCTCAAGTTGCAAGAAATACATAATCAAGAGAGAATAAAAGGTTCTATATCTTTTGTAAGAGAGTCTCAAATACAAAGAATTTGTATCCCATTATTTCATAAATATAAAAAAAATAATTTATTTTCATTTTTCTTGTATTTGGATTTATACACAAAATTTGTGTTGATAGTAAACACATATCTCACCAATTTGTATTGATCAGCCCAAAATGTTTCAAATAGAAAACACAATGGTAACAACACAACCTAAATCTTTGAGAGTAGAAACTTAAAAAGAACTAGTACATCATCATCACAATAAATATGTAATAATGAGTGGAATTTATAAGAAAATGCCAACCAGCTAAGTTGGTAAGTTCTCTTATTGGTTGTAACAGAGACTTGGAATCAATTTCCACCCTCACCAACTATCACAAAAAGAAAAAAAAAATCCAGTCTCACCAAGGTTGGGTGAAAGAAAACCTCTAAACTATAATTGAAGTTTGTTATCAAAGAACAAGAATCTCATCTTTGATGGATAATAATAGATTGATCCATGAATTGTATAATTGAAATAATGAGAGAGGATGAAGCCAATTGATTCTTATAGTTTAAGTATTAAATCAATGGGGATAAAGATATAATGTTGCTATTGTGGAAGATATTCTTCTTCTTCTTCTTCTTCTTCTTCTTCTTCTTCTTCTTCTTCTTAAATTTGATGAAGTATATTATTGAGGGGCAAAGTAGTAACAACTTGAACTCTTCTACATTGAATCTAGGTTTCTCCTTCAAATTAATCTCGGGGAAAACACCGCCACCACCATCATCACCATCATTGTCATCGCCATCTAAGCCTTGTTCAAACTCTATGGGGCTGGCTACAAGAATTTCGTTTTTCCATTCCATTCCATTCAATGCCATATCCATTATTAAATTATGAATGCTTAAATAATTGCTTATTAGGTTCTTTTTTCATCTGTAAAGGAAAACATGTGAACAACCACTAATAATAAATCCCTTTTTATTATAAAACTAAAAAGCAATAATTTGTACACACTTGACACAAGAGTATGTATAAAGTCAAAATTTGAAAAAAAAAAGTTCAATACCTAATTTAATTAGTATTCTAATTACCTCAGCCTGCTTGTTTCAAAGTAAAATAGGATGAAAAACACATTTCGTGCTAATGAAATATTTGAGCTATACTTTTACCTCTTTTAGGATGAAAACTTTGTTTTCTTTGTCATTTATTTTACATCAAAATAAATTAAAATAGACTTAATTTCATCCATTTTATAAGAAAAAAAAGCAAATATAAATCCGCCTCTGATGTGATTTGTTAAAAAATATATGCTTATTTCTATATAAATTTATTTTGTGATGTATCTAAGTTGATTGCAATATTTGTTTGTTTTATAAAGAAAAAGTCTTTTTTTAATCTGTCAGATGTTCAAGTCTCATATCAATGCATACAATATCAAATCTATCTTAGACGACTTTATTAAAAATATGTATTATTTTGTTTAATTTTAAGTTTAAGTTATTAATTAAGGTAAATTATAGATTACCACTCTATACTTTGGGGTAATAATACTTTGAGGTAACGGTACTTTACCCCCTGAACTTTCAGTTGTGATAAAGAATCATGTAAACTTTCAGATTCCTACACTTTTATCCCTTCTTTGTAAATTATATTGACAGAAAAAGCTAATTTATTAAAATGCCCTTTAAGATTTGTATGGGTGAGATGATATTCTAAAATGACAAAAATAGGTAAAGCAAAAGACGTTAGCTTTTTATCAAGAAGAGAAAAAGAAACATATGTAAAGGGTCTGCACAAATATATTAGAGGAAGGACAAAATGGTCCCACCAATTAAGAAAATGGTAATTTGCAGATGTAGAAAAATTTGGAGATTTTAGAAATGTTTACCAAGCACACCAAGCGCATGATGGTCAAATGAAATTTTTTTAAAGCTAACAGACTGAATGCTAACGGAGAGATAAAGTATTGAAATCTGAGAGTTGAGTGGGTTTTTATTGAGAATGAAAGTTCGGGGGGCTAACCGGCTAAGTGCCATTACCCCAAAGTAGAGAGTTTTCTGGAAAGCCCCCAAAGGAGAGAGTGGCTATCTGTAATTACAAATTAGTATACTCAAATATCTGAAATCAATCCAAATTCGATCGGAATCCGATGGAATATCGGATTTCTTCCGATCCGTTTGCAGCCCTGGGCATATCCGAACCCGACCCGGATTAGCTGACCGTGAGGGCTGTGTAAGCATTAATAAAGCCCCACGTTTCCTGATCACGCAATGAGAATGGTTCCAAGTTTTCAGAATGAACAACGGACGAGTTTTGTGGCAGCGAAACCAAATCTATATTTTCGTATCGGATTCTTCTCTCTCCATTGCACTGAGTGAGACTGAGAGGCACCCAAGTTTTCAGAATAAACACACACATTCTTTGTGACGAACAAACCATACAGAACAACATTTAATCTATATATATAGCCGATTACTTCCTCGGCTACCCACCAAGGTACCAAGCTAAAGAGCAGTAGGGTTGGGAACGAGATGGCAGCAACCAAATGGGTGTGTTCCTTGCTTTTCTTTGTTTATCTGAGCTTGGGGCTCTGCTCCGCTCATAGAATTCTTAAAGATTCAATGGATAGCGCAGATAGTTCCAACCATGCTGCAGAACCTGCCGTCTTGCCCGGGAAAGATGATGTCATCTCAGGAGGTGCTGGCGATGCTGTTGTCAACCATGTGAATGGATGTGGTTCTGGTGGCCCCAGCTATGGCTCCGGACGTGGCAGTGGCCCTGGCTATGGAAGCGGTCAGGGCTCTGGTTTTGGTGGTTGCCGACCTTGCGATTGCGGTACGGGAACCGGTGGCGGTGGCAGTGGCAGTGGCTCTGGCTCGGGCGGTGGAGTAGGGCCAGGTTTTGGAAGCGGCGGTGGATCTGGCTTTGGTTCAGGAGGTGGCATGGGGCCTGGTGGTTACGGATGTGGCAGTGGTTCCGGCTATGGGTCAGGAGGTGGCATGGGAACGGGATCTGGTACTGGTTACGGAAGTGGCAGTGGTTCGGGCTACGGGTCAGGAGGTGACATGGGAATGGGATCTGGTTACGGAAGCGGCTCGGGCTCTGGCTATGGTTCTGGAGGTAGCATGGGGCCGGGTTATGGTAGTGGCAGCGGTTCCGGATGCGGTTCAGGAGGTGGTGTTAGTCCCGGTTTTGGGAGCGGTAGTGGCGCAGGCCATGGTTTTGGAGGTGGTGGGCCTGGTGGCGGATCTGGATTCTGGTACGGAGGCGGTTGCATGCCTCGTTGGGTTTTCGATCCGCCTTCTTATGCCCTCCAACCCGGCAACGGCTGGATGTGCGGCGGGAGAATGCATCCGGAGGGTGGATTTCAGACACTTGGGTGCGAGAAACAAATGGACGGTCAACTTGGAAACCAGCAAGAGGCGATGGCTCCACGCGGGCAAAATGAAATCAGCGGCATGCCGTCTGATGAGAATGAGGTGAGCGGTGGGGCCATCTCTCCAGTTGGATCTGGGGCTTTTGATGGAATCGGCGAGATGCTGTCTAGGGTCCCACCAAGCAAGCCTCCTAGCGAAACCAAGGATGAACTGATCCATCCTCCAGCAGCTTTCTTTCGTGGGTCAGTGGAAGGCGAGGATGGTATTATGCCATGAGAAGATCAATAATGGGCTTGGCCCAGAGCCCATCATGGCAACTAAACTACATTAGCAGTGTATAAGTGATATAATCTATAGTAAGCCACTGTGCTTTGATCACAATACAATATCTTAAGTGTTAATATGATTTTAAAATGTTTAGACAATGAGTCTATTGACATGAAATCATCTACAGGGTTATCATTTTTATTGAATTATTAGTGAAAGTGTCTTGGTCCCGTAGCTCAGTTGGTTAGAGCGTTGGTCTTATGAGCCGAAGGTCGCGAGTTCGAGCCTCGCCGGGACCAATTCATAAAATCTACAGGTTATAGCATTTTTATATTTATTGAAATCTGTGAGGGAGATTCATGCTGCGTTTGGAAACTCTCAAATAGAGTGTAAATCTTGATTGCCTATGTTTGACAATATTACATTTATGCATTGACAAATAATAGAAAACACATTTTTTAATGAAGATATATTTGCAAGACTCCCAACTTTGCAGTTTATATGGACCGTTTTACATTCTATATATTTGCATCGTTTCCAAATACAACCTAAATAGTTATAGCGTTTTATTACTTATTACATCTAGTGAGTGGTATGACCCAAAATAGAGGAGCAGAAAAATCTTCCCAAGTTTGATTTTATGTGATAGAGGCTTTGGTCCAATAATAATGGCAATGCAAGTTTGATTTGCCTTTCCAACGGTAACAATGTTCTTGGTGTTGCACAAGGTAGTCAAGTCGAGTATTAGGGAGTTAGGGTTCAGTAATAGAATGATAGAATAATAGTTAGCAGTGGCAATTGGATGGGTTGGGTTGGGTTTGGGTTGAGGCTCAATCCAATCCATTTAACAGATTAACCCACCAACCCATTAATGACCTAATTATATAAAATTAAATGGGTTGGGTTCAACCTAAATTCGTCTTGATCCAATTCAATCCATTAATCTTATATTTATGTACTTAAAACTAAAAATTAATTTCCTTTTGACAAATAAGTTGCTTATAGCTTGGTCGTAATAGTAATTGTTATTTACACAACTAGTGAAGGTTTAAATCACATTATATGCATATTATTTTTACAAAGAGAATAAAAGGCAATTAATCACTTGAAACCATTTGACTATGTTCGGGTTTCGGGTTTGATTGAACCACTTAGGTTCAAATTGGTCAGACCAACTTGAACTATCTAACTGGACTTGTCTTCGAGCTAATTACATCAAAAGTGGTTGAACCATTTAGATTCGAATCAAATTGATCGGACCAAACCAAACTGGTTCAGTTAAAATGGCAAATTGACTTCGACCGATCCATATTGGATTGTGCACAAGTTTGGGATCAAGCCAAATGGTTCGAACTGGATCAAGACAAGAAGACTAGGCCGGTCCAAATTCAGGTCGGGTTGCATTTTGAACTAGGTTAGAATGAGTATATCACATTGGCTCGGGTCGGATCAACCGTCTAGAACCAATCTGAATTTGGATCAGGTTAGATCGGTCTGGTCCAGATTGGGCTAGGTTTAGACTAGATTGATCGACCCAAATGGATCAAACCGAGGTGATTGGGTTTGCTCATATTCGAACCGGGCTGAACTAATCTAGACTAGTCCAGACTCGGGTTGGGTCGATTTGAATGAAATGTATTGATTCAAGGCAAAACTAATTTTAATCAATAATTAATAAAAAATTAATGTATTAATTATAAAATATTTCATTTAAATAAAGAAAACAAACAATTAGTTAAGGAATTCATACTTGTATCTTTAGTGGTTAAGCCAATGGTTATCCAAAACCCAACCCAATCCATTTAAATTGACCCAATGAATAATCAACCCATTTTCAACCCGCCAAATAAATGTACGAAATAGGTGAACTAGATAGAAATTGCCACCCCTAATCAGAGCTCTAGGCTGTATACTGTACAGTTCTTATAGCCAGGCGTGGGCAATGGAATCCTGTGATTTATACATTCAGAGCTCTATATGGGTGGTTAGAGCTCTGGAGAGAAAAGACAAAAACGGAATTCCTTGGCAAGCCCTTGATGAGCCTGCTCATCGCATGTCTCAATATATGAAAACTTGATTCAGGATCTGTGGTTGGATGAAACCCCTGAATGAGTGATGGACAACTTTGCTTGATAGCTAGCTAATTCAAGGGGTCTTCTCCATTGTGAATTGTTTTTCATTGTTTCTTGTTGTGAATTCCTAAAACACCACAAAACCAGCTGATTTGAAAACAGATTGGTTCTTGAATTTCTGGTCTAAATAACATGTTTTCATCTGATTATTTAATATCATATTTCATACATTATACAATTTCTATGCTACAAAATTTGTTTTTGTTTTCAAAACCATCATTTTGAAGGTTTCCAAAACATGATTTGTTTTTTTGAAACAAGATTAACTTGTTTTTTTTTTTTTTCAAAACAAAAGCATGGGTCAAAAACATGCTTTTGGAATTCGCTGATGTAGCAATTAAAAAACTAATGAAAACAAAAATTCATTTTCTAGAACGCCCCCCTAGTTATTTTATGCATAAAAAAGAACAGTGACAGCTTTGCAGAAAAGTTGGAGCTGGATCAACTTGGGTTCAAGGCTAGGCAAGCCTTGATTGGGGATTCCAAGTTTGTAATTTGAAAACCAAAAACAGTCAACCAAATTAGAAGAAACCTTTTTCCATAACTAATTTCTGAATCAAATTTTCAGGACAAGACTTCTAAGTGTAAGTGACAGGTGCTCTCAAGTTGAAAGATATAATTGGTAGCAGAAGAAAATGGTTTCACATTTAAAGCTTTTCTTTCTTCTTTTCCACAAAATTTTAAGATAAGATGGTAATCATTAGAATTACTGCATTGTACAAGGAATGCACGGCGAAAGATGAACTTAAATTCCCAGTCCAGCAATATGAACATCCAAGAACACACCCGATAATAAATAGTTGCAGAGAGTTCTCAGTAGATAAGTGAGCAGCACTGAAAATACAAGAGCTTAGAACAATTGCTTGCTGCCAATTCATCCTAGAGGCAAGGGATCTCAACAGAAATCCTCTGTAAACAATTTCTTCTAGCAAGGGAGTGATTAAGCAATAGGTAAGGAAGCAGGCAGTTTTAGAATTGAATCCACTTGACAAAATCTCCTTTAGTATGGGGTTGTTCACAGCCTGCAAGAACAAGTAGAAGTTCAGTTACTACTTCTACTTGACAGCCAGTGCACCTGCACTGAGAAATTGTTTTTCGCATTCTGTTTGGTTGGACAGAAAATCAAATTCCAGAAAGGGAAAATTCCCAATCAGTATCCTGTACTTTGGCTCGAGTGACAATTTGGTCCCTGAACTTTAAAATGCGACAATCCAGTACCTGTCGTTAACCAGTCCGTTAATCAGCCATTAAGTGACATTTGAAAAGTCAAAAATGCCTTGAATGCCATCTAATTCTCTTTATCAACCATCCAAACATTGACAAAAAAATGAACAGTCCCAAATCCTAGCCTCTTCTATTCAAAAAAGTTGGTGACTGTTTAGAAGAATCTAGAATTTGGGATTGTTCATTTTATTGCCAATGTTTGGATGGTTGATAAAGAGAATTAGATGACATTCTTAGGGCATTTTTGACTTTTCAAATGTCACTTAATGGCTGATTAAAGGACTGGTTAACGACAGGTATTGGATTGTCACATTTTAAAAGTTCGGGTACTGAATTGTCACATTTTAAAGTTCGGGGACCAAATTTTCACTTGAGCCAAAGTACAGGGTACTGATCAGGAATTTTCCCTTCCAGAAATTGGTTTCCATGGAAAATGATATTTCCCTTGTGTTTAAGAGAATGCCTTTTGGAAAGAGTAATATCTGCTAAACTTACCTTGGGCCCAAGTACTCTGTCAGCAAGAAGAGATGTATGCAAAACCAGCAAAATCAGAAACCCAAAACCAAGCATTGATGCCTGCACCCAGTTCCTTTCTTTCGATAAGTTGCTACAGTAGAAGAAACTCACAGGATCATATTTGGACTTTGCTATGTACCTCAATAGCATCAAAGACCCCAGGAGCTCCAAACTTTGTATTATAAGTAGAGAAGTTGCCTGCACCATTGGAAAAAAAATGATATTGACTTTGGCAAGGAGCTAATGATTTATCAGCATTTTCATACTCATATCAACTAGTTTTGTGGTGACAAAATGTACAAAAAAAGGCTTGAGTTTTCAAAACGACTAGCCTTCAGTGAATCAGAATATAAAGACAATACTTATTTCTTTCACCCTTCCAATTTGGACTACTGCATGAAACAGGCCCCTGCTTGACTGCCTCAATAAACCATAGTCCAAAGGCCCTTCTAACAGTAAAGAGCATCTACTTGATATGATGTTTGAGATAGAACCCATTACATAAGTGCTACGTGATTCATTATTTGATCTATCTAGTTCCACATACAGGGCGATTTATTCATATGACAGCAGTCACAACACTCTTAAGAGAATAACCTCAAATGATAGCATGCCATGGGTAATGACATATCTTGAACTTCAAGATCATATCAAAAGCTACTATATTTATCTTCTTCTGGTATGAGTTACATACAATTTCAATTAATGCATTGATTTGTCACCAAAGTTAAATGAGAAGACTGAAAATTTATGTTCACCTCTGTCTGCGGGTCAAGAACGGGTTGATGCCTTATTTGAGAAATTACAGACAATCCTCCAAAACTCAAAGGGATGTGTAAACTGAAGAAATACAAAGCCATAGTGCTCCATATACTCTCACTGTCCCATGGAATATCCGTTGAGAGCACACAAAACCCCTGTTAACACAATACCAAATATCCATCTATATAACTCGCTTATAAGTTGATAACTAATGAAAAAGGAAGAATCATCAGGAGTCATTCACATGTTTTCCTTCTTCTGCAGTGTTTCAGAACTAATGAAAGTACAAATCGTATAGTCTAATTTATGCTTGATGTTGAACCTCAAATATCTTGGAACCAAAATTGGAGAGAAAAAGTGCAATATAGAGGGGGAGATGTTGGTCAGCTTTAGATAGGTATAAAAGCAATCTTTTTTTCCCTATCCAGTACCCGAATCATCTATTAAAATGGAAAAGAGATTGTAACTGAAAGAACCCATGCTTCCTTCGTCTAATAAACCAAAAGAAAATGAGCCTCGAAGGAATTTGAGAGAAGAAATGATGAATAGAAACAAAGTAATCTAAAAGTAGAGAAAGAAGAGGCTGGTTCGGTGGCTCCCTCACCTCAGAAACGTTATCTGAATCTTCCTTCTTAGTGCAAAAACACCTGAAAGAAGCTTTAGCACTAAAATCGTCGGATAAAATGGAAGAATAGAAGACGAAATTTGGAGGCATATACTCCGTTTTATAGAAACCCTTGCTAAATTTAGCGGGAGACATGAACATGGAAGAAGCCGAAGGCGCCAGTATCATCTTTCTGCCTTCTATTTCCTTTCTTTCTCGAAATCCCAATACGTAGTAGTTGGTTTCTGGGGCTATAGGACTCGATAAGGGAATTTGCCACGTCATTACGTTTAGAGGATCAGGACCTTCTAGAATGGACTCCACCGTGGAAATTTATCTTGGATAAAAATCGGGTGTCTTGGTCTTGGATATGGGGCCGGGGCGATAAACCCATAACGTCTTGGTGTGGGCCTTGGACCTCTCGCTACACCTACCTATTTGGCAGCTTGGCACAATCAGAAAGTTGAGCATTCTTTGTTAAGATTGTGTGTGTGTGTTTTTTATAGAAAATACGAGAGAAGTTGTATTTGTGTTGAGACCTTTCTTCAACTTTTTGTTTCTCTCCTACTTTCTAAGAAACCAAACATAGGTTCTTCTCAACTCTATAGTGGAATCCAGGCTGCTTTTGGCCGAGCTAAATCTCCACGGGAGTGGAATCAAAAGAACCTAGCATCGAAACTAGAAATTAGGGCGATTCACGGGTTCGGTTGGATCGGTTTAATAGATTTTTTTTTTCAATCGATCTGATTTGATCTGATTGGGTTACTTAAAGAACAAAACAAAATTGACCCAAACATGAAGGGTTGATTTTGGGTCGATTTGGTTGGTCTGGCATTGTTTGTGAATAGCCCTATATTTTGTGTAAAATTTCCCAAGGTTCAAAGTATCAACATGTATCAGTCGATACGTATCGTTCTAGGACCCCTCCGATATGCCCCTACAATGGGTGTATCGGAGGTCTGACCGGTTCAGGGGGTAGAGGAGACTTAAACCGCCCCCCTGAACCGGTTGTGAAACAAAAAAAAAGAAGCAACTAAAATGTGTATCGATTCGCCCAATACGCCGCTTTCGGCATATCAGGCGTATTGATATTTTGAACCTTGAAATTTCCTACTCAAAAAAGGAAAACAATCCTAAGACAAAAGTAATTCCTATTTAACTGATATTTTATTGTTCTTTAATCTTAAAAATGAGTAACTAACTAGAAAGAATAAACTGGGATAAGGATTACCTAGTTAGGGAAAGACTAGGAAATCAGAAACCAACTAACTCAGTTTAATTTGGTTTCAGTTTTCACACATGAAAGCCGAAGCCAAACCAAATTATTGATTTATCTCTCTTCACAACCCGAAACCAACCAATGGTGAAGAAAACCGACCAAATCGAATTGGATCGGGCCAGTTTGGTCGGTTTGACATTGTTTGTGAATAGCCCTAGTAAAAACACAGGAGATGTTTCTTTTCCATTGCTTTTTTTTTTTAAGATTTCTGAGAAACGCTTATGCATGGTGCTGTTTGGTTCAATTGCCATTTTCTCCACAGAGGAGCCACATCAGCCACCATACCAAAAAACACACTTCGTGAAAAGAAAAAACGTCAAAACTGATCAGCCATGTTTTTTGAGAAAACAGCATAATATTTTCTTGCTGTTTATTTTTTTCAGAAAACGGCCAGCTCCAATGCGGCACCGTTATGGTAGAAAGTGACAATACAACCAAACACCAGTCGCATCCCCATGATCGAACTCGAGGAAAGTTATCAACCGCTTAGTTCAAAAGAGCGAGATAGAGGCTATAGAACAGACTGCTTATTCATTTTACTCAGTCCATCAGGTTAGCTGTGACTGCTTCATTGTAGCCATTGATGTACGAGTAGAATTTGAAGGCAATTTGCATTCAGTTGTTGATTTTTCTTTGAAGTTTATTCCTTCACAATAGTTTCTTATCGTCATGAAGAAGAACTGTTCTTTTCTCACTAATTTTGTTCAGTTAATCTCATTTAAAGGATCGAAATTGAAGATGCAAAAAGCGCCTCGCCTGAATAAGCCCTAACATCGTTCCTCATGAAGCAATGACCAACTTAAATGAATGGACAGATCAGTTCAATTCAGTGAGCAGAGAAACTTGCCTTGAAACTTCAAAAAATTCCATTGCCCTAGAGCTCCATCTCACCAAATAGCTCCCTAACTCATAGGATGATCTATTGAATCAGAGTGCCTGCTAAGGCTTCCCAATTAGCATTTGAAACCTTCATACCATATATATCCAATTTCAGAAAGTAGAGCAGCTTTGCTTAAAGCATTCCTTCATCTATCTTTGGTACCTCCAAAATATATATTGATTTATGAATTATGAAGATATGATACAAGAACATGACGCCTTCAACTGATACAAGCGTCTATTGTCCTAACGTTAAGCTTGTGCTCATACTGCAACTTTTCTCTATACATCTGTGAAACCAGGTCTTAGATCGGGAAGGAATGAACCATTGTTTTGCATTTTACCCAAAAAAGTAGTCCATGAAGATCGGGAAGGAAAAAAGCCCGAGAAACAAAGAATTGATTTCCATGTCATTTCATTTGTTAAAGCTTGGGAAGGAAAATAAGAAAAAAAGTTCACTTCCAAAAGAGAACAGAACTAATAACAGGAGAATATACCCAGAACCAGAAAAATGAAGCCAACTCAAATGCATTCTGCGTACACAATTCAGAGTGAAAAGAAATTTATCTTCATTTTTTTTTTTTTTTGCATTGACAAATAAATGAACATTATACCAATACCAAAGCATCCAACCTGGAAAACAACAAAATGGATCAAGGTTAACTGTAGTTCTGGTCTTTTAAACCAAAAAAGATCATCTCGAGGCCTTAGGTTTGTTCCTGTGAAGGATCCAGTTACGCCTGCACTCTCCAACGCCAAAGTTGCTATAACATGTTGTAGCTTTGTACCAATCAGAAGAATAAGCTGCACCAAAGTTTCAGGCTTAAGGAAATCAGAGTCACAGCATAATGATTTAAGGGTTTTTGGTTTAAAAATGGATATGGAACAGAACAGAACAGAACAGAACAGAACAGAAAGGCAGAAATACATGATTATATAATAATAATATAGAAATGCATGCTAATGTAGATGGACAAAGTCCAAGGATTCATTTAGCAACTTTATTCTAGTTTTAGTCCCCCTCATTCATGAACTTTTACACCTTTTGATAATATCTGTTGCATTGTCATTCTTGAGTGTTTGTCAAACGTATACATTTAAAAACTCCACACAATACTGCCCCTATGCATGCCTAGCTTGGCAAGATTATCTTCTAGCTTTGATTTTGCTACTCCTTTTGTCAAGCAATTTGCAAATTGATCACATGATTTTAGAAAGAGTAGACAAATCTCCCCACTAATCACCCTTTCTTGGATGAATGCCAATCAAACTCTCTATGCTTTGTAGAGTCATGCTGAATTGGGATATTGGCAATATTAATAGTAACTTGATTGATGCAAAATAATTTTATAGGGCAATCATACGTAACTCCTATTTTAGTCAAAGAGGTCTTTAACCAAACCAATTCTGAGATTCAATGTGTCATTTCCCTATTCAGCTTTTGTACTAGGTTTTGCAACAACTAGTTGCTATTTTACTTTACTTTCCTAAGAAATAATGTTTCTTCGAACAAAGGTGCTGATGGAGGGTGATTTGACCCGACCTCCTAAGAAGGCGACACGTGGATGTGACTCAGCATAAGTAATAGCTCAGCGTGACAGCATGGTTACAACTGAGTAACGATCTCGTTAAATTCCTCGCAGGTCAGCTCGCTACATTACAGCTCACCACGGAACGAACTCGCTACAGCGCGAGCTCAAGGACCCTAGTATGCTGAAAGGGAACACTCCAAGCTAGGTCTATCCCAGCTCACAAGCTCGGATAATCCGCTCGCTCCAATACTTAGGCAAGAGGACCGCCTCAAAGGCAGTCTCAGGCGGAATCACCTCAAAATACCTCCAGGAGCTCGCTATAAGGCAACTCGCTATGGGATAGCTCGCTACAAGGCAGCTCGCTATTGAGCGACACGGCGTTTTCAGGAAGCTTCTTATCTGGCAAGACCGTACCCGTCAGGCTGCACCACGTCTCCTGACTGACAACGCAGTCCCTGCCAGCCCAGGGGACTGCACCCACGTCTCTCGACAGGTGGCGGCATGCCTGTCCTTTCCGGGTCGTGTCTCTCATTTGATTGGCCAGTACTCTACGACGGTTACCTGCACAGCCCTGGCAAATAACGACTGTGATAGAGGGCCAGTGGCAGTTACGCCCGATTTGATAATAACATCTATATTTAAAGGCCCTAGTTTCCAAGGGGTGAAGGTAATTGAACTGATCTAGCGCTATCTGCACTCTTAGCTCTCTTTGCATTTCTTTCAACTCTCTTAGAATTCTAACTTAAGCATCGGAGTATTCCCACCGGGTGAGCTCCCTGGGAATCCTTCACCTTCCTCCTCTCAGGTACCGTCCATCGCCAGCTAGGAGCTAGGCGTTCGCCAGTTACGAGTGCACGGATCACGCTACATCATTTGGCACCATCTGTGGGAACGCTTCAAAAGGCCTTCCTCTAATCTCTGCAACTTTCTCTAAGAACTCAGCATCCATGGCTTCCTCTAGCAATGCCGGACGAGGTGCCGACCAGAACGCTTCTAGGGAGTGACTTCAGCTCCTCACTGTCTGCATTGGACAGTTCACCGTCCCCCTCTCTATGGATGGAGTTCCCAGTCTGAATGTGCCTCAGACATTGGCACCTGTGAACGCTCCGCTCCCTTCCACGATTGGAACAACCTTCACTGAACCTTCTGTTGTTCCCCCAGTGATCAACCAAAACCAGCTTCAAGACCTGGTGTAGTGCATGCGAGCTATGCAAGCTCAAATGCAACAGTTCCAGCAGTTTCAACTTTATCAGCAGCAAGTGCTGCATCAAGTTTCTCAGTACCAGTATCAACAGCAGTTCCCTTCACTGCCTCAGGCCCAGTAGCCACTTCCCCCTCGGCATCCAGCCACAAAGCAAGCCAAGCCCTCCCGTCGGAGTGAACGTCCTCGCTGGGGAGAGGCCTCTCAAACCCAGAATCCTTCCAAGAGCCAAGCCTCGTCCCACAGAAGGAAGGAGAGACCAGTCACCCCCGCTTCGCAACCTGCAGGCAGGTCGGGGGCCTCCCAGTCGGCCAGGCCTGCATCGCCTTAGCACTCTCAGTTCGAGCTCCCGCTCGCCGAAAACCAGTTTGAGGTCCTAGCCGCGGATTACAGG